GTAGAGCAGTGATCCAATGCAAACGATTGTATCATAATTTAATGCAACGGCACTTCTAGAAAACCATGTGTGGTATTTGTTTGACCTCAAATTTTGCACACACACTCTCTTCATCTCAATAATCAATCTCCTCCAAAAAAAAAAAGTTCAATTTGAACCCTAGATATGGTCAAAATGAGTCCCCTCCAAAAACAAATCTAGATCATTCATTTTGTGAATTTCAAGATATTAGCCGTTATAAAGTCAAAATCATTTTTTTCTTTTTAACATTGTTCATCTAATGATAATAAAGTCATCCAAAAAAAATTTGAAATGAAAAATTGCTTCTAAAGCCTAGATCTAAGCATCTTATCAAAATGAACGGCCTATGTTAATTGGGCTAAAAAATTACTTTTTAGGTTGTGTTTTCAATTTTTTTTTTTTGTGATTATTCGTTAGAATGAAAAGAAAAGAGTGTATATTTCAAAATTTGAATCAAACAAATAGCCATATGATAATTTTTTAAGATTATTGCATCATGTACGGTTACATGAAATCATTGGCCCACCATTTATGGACAGAGTATACATCCTGTGAGGCTCTTCTTTTGTATGATTTACTCCTGAAATGTTGGACGCTTCTTAAATACTTAGCCTTGAGATGTGGAGTGGAAACCAAGTAGTAGTGCCAATCAGACCTTGTATCTTGGTGTTGGATGGGATTCTCTAACTCTCTTTTTTTTCTTTTTAATGTCAGTAACTTTAGGGCATGTCTGCGTTTCAGCAATGGGTTTGCTTATTGTTTAAAAAACTGACAAGGTGGATTCGGATTTGATCTAGACTAACCCAGCTCGTTATTGGAACCGAGAAGAGGTTCAGTTCCTATGGACGTATATAGAACGGAGAGAGTTTGGGAATTGGGCGATTGCTTAGTTCCCACGCATTATATATATATATATATATATATTTTTTTTTTCTCATTTTTTTTATCTTTTGGACCGATTCTCACACTGGAGAATCAATTCGATTTATGGATCTAGATTTGTAATTTCTCAATCTAGACCATATTTTTTGATGGTGGTTTACCTTGTCGATCTTGGTTCTACAACACTGGATTTGTTTACTTCATATGAGTCCACCAATGTAGTTCTTTTATTCAGAAGTGCAACAAGCAGGAGTTTGGTCGACATTTGTGATTTTGAGATGGGATTGTATACTATAAGACTATTTATCTTAAAGAAATATATACAAGGAGACCATTTATTTTTGCTAAGGCCATAATCATTATTGACCGTCGGATTTGAAATCTGGCGTTGAGGACGTATCATTGATTATGCACAACTATTGTGACACACTTCAATCTATTGAATTTCACATCTAATGATTGAGACCTCCTTGAGCTAAAAATAAATGATCTCATATTACATAATCTCTTATCTTTATTACAAAGAGGTCACAATTACTCCTAACCATCGGATATCAAATTGGACTGCTTGGAGTGTGTAACGAAATTTGAGGAAATTTCTTCTAAAATTTGAGCTTAGACAAAAACATGCTCGTAGTCATTCAATTTGAAAACTGACAAACAAGAGCAGTGGTGACTTCCTTATATAGACAAATGGTCTCCTTACATACTTTTCCTTTTTGGAAATAAATTTTCTCTATTTATACTTGCACCGCTCCATATTGATAATTTTAAACAGCACTTTTCCCCAATCTAAGTGCCAGTGTGGCGGCAGGTGACATGAAACGTCTAAATTGGCCTAAATATGTGGTATTGAAAATTTCAAGGTAGAAAAAATTGAAAGTCCAAATTGGCCTTAAATATGTGGTATTGAAAATTTCAAGGCGGAAAAAATCGAACCCAAACAGTTAACCGGATATGCATAAGATGCTTTTTAAGGCTTTTTTGTACAAATTTTAAAAAAACGTGAACTTTCATTAGGGAAATGAGCAAGGAATCAAAGCAATAGTTTTCTTGAAATGTAAGTTGTGGTTGTCTCGGAGATACAATGAAAATCTGATTTCATACTTGTACTAAAAGGCACCTACGGCATCCCGAACTTTATGACAGCGTTTTAACTCATCATTCTGATTCAATGTAGTTTTCAAAGAACCTTTTATCTTAAAAAAAAGGGAATATTTCAAAGGAGTTTTTAAGTATGTGTAACTATCTATTTCAAGGTATGTGTAACTATCTATTTCTCCTTGAGAGGAACGATTTGGTCCATCATTGTACTCTTAAGTTCCTTCATAGTTAGAGATTATTATATATTTCTATGTTATAAAATTGTATCTGTCATTATTGTAGGTTATTTACTGTCACAATTGTTTGTACAGTACGTTGACATTTGTGTTTGACACAGTATGCTAGCATCTCCTCAACTTCCCATTGGTGACAATGGATGGTTGATGATTTGCTAACACCCTATTTGAAACCTAGCTTAATATCTCTACTTGAAATATAAACACATTAATAAGCTAAAGTTACGGGTGGATATATGTTACAAGAATAAGAAAAAGCTAAAGTTACGGGTGGATATATGTTACAAGAATAAGAAAAGAATTGTAAATTAAAGCTAGAATGGACCTTAACTCTAAAGAGACACTTAAAAATAATATATAATAGAGATAGTGCTCTAAATCATCATCATCAACATTATTATTTTAGTATTTTTCAAATTAATTGAGGTCGGCTATATGAATCTTGGTTCTTCATTTTGCTCCATTAAATGTCATATCCTCAGTGAGGTCATAAGTCCTCATATATTTTCAAACTACTTCCAACCACGTCTTTTTTGGCCTACCTCTTGTTTTTTTTAGTTCTTTCATTTGAACTAACTCACACCTCCTAACAGGTTCTATATTTGATCGGCGGTACACATGGCCAACCTACCTAAGCTTACTCTCTCTTATTTTATTGCCTATTGGTGCTACGCCTAAATTCTCTCGAATAGAGAGAGCCATAAATGACATCTAATGTGTAGGAGTGATTGCGATAAATGATGTAGTTTGTATAAGGTTGAGGCTCTAAACATTCAAAGCAAGGTGCAACTTCAAACAATGTCGAAAGATGTCGTTTCAGTACCAAAAATCTGTATGATGGGCCGAGAATTTATTTTCATCTCTAATTATAAAATTTAAAGCTTCAAAAATAGTGTAGATCAAGCAGATCTACCAACACTTGCCAAAAAACAATTGACGGTCTAGATAATGCCTTACAAGGTACATTATTTCCAAGACCTGAAGTTCATTCATTTTATTTTTATGTCCATGCATATCAAGGTGAGACCATCGGATTTGAGTATTTTTTGGCATCAAAATAATAAAATTTTGAGGTGCACCTTAATTTGATTGATCGGGCCCTCAACCTCATATAACCATTTTCTAAAGACATATGGTCTCTTTATATAGAATCCCAACTCCTATGTTTAAAACTTGAAATCTATTTTTTTTTCATGTCCATATATTTTGACTGGGAGATGATCAATTTGAAAAAATTTAAGAATCAAAACAATCTCATGTTTCAGGTGGGCTCTAATTTGATTGTTTAGAGCCTCGGCTCTATATAAACCTTCTCCTTCGTCAATTTTTTTAGATTTTTTATG